CTCTAGTATATTAGTATAAGTTAAGTTTAATTATATATATATATATATATATATATATATATATATAATAAAAACGCCCGCCAGTGGCACAGCGGTATGTCTGCGGACTTACAACGCTAGATTCCGAATTTCGATACCCGTGGTGGGCAGAATACAGATAGCCCATTGTGTAGCTTTGTGATCAACCTCAAAAGCAAACAAACAATATAATAAAATATTCCTATTATTATACTAAGTTGCTTAACTTATATAATTGCATTGTAATAGTTTCCGCATCAGGTCGTTCGTGTATTTGCATATTATTCTTTAACAATCAAGTGCTATAAATTAACTAATAATATTTAATGAAAACTGTTACGAGTTTAAAAATACTATTGAAACTAAGTATTTTTCTGCAATGATTCTTGGTTTATTTTATACAGCTGCTTTGTCTCTCTTACTGCGTGTCTGATAATATCCTATTGATATTTTGCAACACTTTTTAGCGCTTCTTCTTTTAGTTTTTGTTTCATGTTCTTACCTTTAGATCTTGATTTGCACGACATGTATTTACTATGAGATATCCCCCACGGCAAGCTTGCTTGTTTGTTTGCTGTAAAGCACAAAGCAACGCAACGGGCTATCTATGCTGTGCCCACCACGAGTATCGAAATCCGGTTTTTAGCGGTACGAGCCCGTAGATTTACCTCTGAGCTACTGGAAACAGTGGCTAGCTTGATGATTTATAATGCTAAAAATCGGGGTTCGATACACGCGGTGGGCACAGCGAAGGTAGCCCATTGCGTAGCTTTGCGCTTAAATACGAAGAAACAAACCAATTGTGATATATTAATCAAATATTACCCGATACCCTATTATAATGTTTGCTGTGACGAGTATTTCGTCTACATTGACATTTGGTTAATTAATTAATATTTAATACTTAATTAATACCGATGGATGAATAATTCCGTTCGATCTTGAAAAGCTTGAATCATTAAAGTTTAGTCGTCAGTCAGCACACCTCCGTCTGTGATTTACTTTTCATCTGCAACTAAAGCTTTTCGTTACAGCGTTATTAACTTCGTCAAATTTAAGGAGTTTGTAACTTATCAGCCCTCTTTGTATAAATATGCATGTGAGTTAGTGTAAACAGCTTAAAAAGTACTCTTTGAAGAAGATTGTATACACGTTTGAAAGATGACAAAGTTTCACCAGGAACCGATCGATTTGGTATTGGTAGATTTGGGTCGAAGAGGATGATTTGGGCCATTGGTTAGTGTTAGTTAGTAGTGTCAAAATGTATTTCTATGTTTGTGCAACAAAGACAAATTCGTTATATGAGTAGAGACTGTGCTTGCTATAGTTTTCTTGTCACAAATATTCAAAGTAATCTTGCTTAATTGGAATTTCATCGCTAGGAGAGTAAAGTATTCCATATTCCAGCCAATATGGTATGAAAAAAACTGTATTCCGAGCACACTCCTAATTTTTTACACCAAGAAAAATAGCTGGTCTTAGTATAACCTTGCTTCTTACACATAGAAAAAGTTATAAAAGTTAAAGTTTTTTTTTTTTTGCTTTTCTATGTATTTTATTTGTTCGTTGTTAAGCGCAAAACTATACAATGGACTATCTGTGTTTTTCCCACCGCGGGTATAGAAGCATGTACATTTAGTTATAAGTCCTCAGAGTTATTGTTGAGTCACAAGGTTTTTTTTTTTTACGAAACTGACTGTGTATATATATATATATATATATACACAAACAGTATTTACATGAGGTTTTCATTTTACTTCTTTTGTACAATTAGGAAATCACAAACAAAATAAGGAAAATCTCAAATATTTGTTAGATAGTAGGAGGGATTTCGCGGTCAGAATTAAACGTATTAAGTATTATTTATAATTCAAAACTGGCTGAGTTAATTATTGCGATACTTATGATACTTTTTAAGATATCATGTAGAATTGCACTGTATATTTTATTGCTATATTGCATTTTATGGTGAGATGCCTTCGAGTTATAATGTAGATTAGCTCAATTTAATTTTAATTCATTATCGCTCAACTCGATTAATAACCAGCCATATCGGTTTAAGATGGACATGTATCTACAGACTCCAATGCACACTTTAAAATTAGTTAAATTTTATATTACCTTTTTTCATCTCGTTATTACTTTAAATAAGAAACTAACGCTTTTTATAAAATATTTACAGGCGACTTGATTTTGTTTACGTATCATTTCGTTATGTGTCATTATAATTTTTTTTCTATGATATAGATTTGGTATATATATAAACTAATTATTTAGTTTAACGTTTGATGATCGCTTATACAAAAGGAACTATTCTAAGTAAAATGATCTGACCAATGGGAGCTTTTTGAAATTTATATTGCATATTATTCTCACTTAGTTCCTTTTACGAAAATGGATTCTCTCTTCACCTCTGTGAAAGCCAACTAGTTTATTAATATTTAGCAAATTCAGTCTATTGGTATTTGCTATTTCTACGGCAAAAATCAGGTTTAGTCACTGGGCCATGGGGTCGGTGTCCAGAGTGTATTTTACAGTGCCCAGAATCTATTTTACGTAAACTATGATATATTAAATTGCAATTGCGTTTCAATTATTTTGAGTAGTAGTTACTTCTTTGTGGCCAAAGACCGAATCTGTTCGGTAACTAGCGAAACTCCTGGTATTCCACATGTAACAACACTATCTTTTAACACAAGATAAAAAAATTGTAAACATTCTTCCTGTTGCTCTGTATACACAGTAATTTATTGATATTCTATTTGTTACTTATTGGTGTTGTCGTTTACGTATCCAAATTCCTAATTAACGCCCGTTGTTTTCTGTTTCTCTCACTGTTTAGAGACTAAATAAACTATATTTCTACTCCTCGCCCGTTGCTATCCATTTCTTTACTGTTTCAGGACTAAGCATTGCGGCGGCAAATTTTCATAGCGACGTCGCATATTTAATAGTTAATATTGATAACAAATATTCTTATGAATTAATGAATACAAGAGGTGTTTCTCAGGGCTAATTTCTGGGACCACTGTTGCTTTAGTTATATGTTAATGACATACCAGGTTTTTTATTTGATATAAAGCAGATTTTATTTCCAGATGACGTCATAGTTTTAACTCAAAATAACAATTTCAGGTCTTTAGTTGAAATGGTTAATTTGTTATTATATAGGACAAAATATTGGTTTAGTGATAGTGATTTGTTTGTAATTCTTCAAAAGACAAAATTTATACTTTTACATATAAAAAATAAAAATAGTTATATTAAGGAAGTAAATATACATATAAATGAACTAGTGCTTGAAAGATGCTCATCTGTAGATTCTGGGTTTTACAGTTAATGATAAATTAAGTTGGTCTAAGTACATAAAAAAACTATTTAAAATGTTCAAAATATATAGTAAAATAGGTTAATTAATAGGAAATGATTGATAACTTTATCTACATTGAATATATGCAAATACTTGTTGGAGAGGTTTATTATAATATAATATAAATCCTTTATTGCTTCCTCAAATAAATACTTGGGTATAAACTGTCGAAATTCTGTGTATCAGTTATTTCATAAAAAAATGGCCCGGCATGGCCAGGTGGATAAGGCGCTGGACTCGCAATCTGAGGGTCGCGGGTTCAAATCCCCGTCCCACCAAACATGCTCGCTCTTTCAGCCGTGGGGGCGTTATAATGTGACGGCCAATCCCACTATTCGTTGGTAAAAGAGTAGCCCAAGAGTTGGCGGTGGGTGACTAGCTGTCTTCCCTCTATTCTTTCACTGCTAAATTTAATACGACTAGCGTGTAGCTTTGCGCGAAATTCAAACAAAACCTTAAAAGTGCGAAAACAGGTTCATTAGTATTAATTAA